AGGCAATTGTTCTGCTTTGTTCTGCTCTGCTCTTCTCTGCTCTGCTCTCCTCTGGGGCAGCCTTACCTTGAGTGCTGGGGCAGTTTTGGGTGCCACAATGAAAGAAGACATGAAGGTGTTAGAAAGTTTTCAAATGAGGTCTACAAGTACAGGACTCGAGGAAATGGCATGCAGCTGAGTCAGGGGAGGTTTAGGTGGAATAGCAGGAAAAGGTTTTTGAACCAGAGGACAGCTGGGCACTGGAAGAGCCTCTCCAGGGAGTGGTCACAGCATCACGCCTGTCTGAGTTCAAGAAGCTTTTGGACATTGCTCTCAAGCATATGGTATGATTCTCAAGGATGGTCCCATGCAGGGCTAGGAGCTGGACTCGAAGATCCTGATCCAATTCAGCAGATTCTATGACTCTGTAGTTCTGCCCTGGCCACTCAAGGTCTATTGCTTGCTCTCACCAGATTTTGATCTGCTATTGTTGCTCAGAATTTGTCACTAGTGAGATTCTGTAGCATCTACTGTGTCATGATATTTATCACAAAAGACAAAGTGCTTTTTCTCAACAGAAATTTGAACACACACCCTATAATCCTAAAAAAACTTTTCCTTGAAACAACACTGTCTTATGCCCAGTATTATTTCCAGATCTTAAGGAGAAAGAAGACAAAATGAGGGGACATATTCCAATGAAGCATTGCCAATTTTCTGGTTCTTTAGCAGTAGATTTCTACTTCCGCTATGCTTTTCTATAAAAGCATGGTTTTGTGTAGCATGTAATTTTCTAGCAAGAGACATTGCTAGAGCATGAGCAACTGAGCCCATCCGTCTCTGTGAAAAGATATTGTAAGAAGAGAAAAACATATGACTACACAGTGACAAGTGAGGAAAAAAAAAAGAGTATGAGAAGCAGCTCTGTGATACTCAGGTGAGACAAGAAGGAGGAGGAGGTGTTCCAGTTGACAGAGCTGAGAATCCCCCACAGTCCCTGGAGGACGTCATAGTGAAGCAGGTTGTGTCCCAGCAGTCCCTGCAGAACCATGGAGGAACACATACCTACACATAGCCCATGGAGAGCTCCATGCCACAGCAGGTGGATGTGCCTTGAAGGAAGCTGCACCTTGTGGAGCAGAAGGGCATCCTTGAGCTCTTCTTTAGTGGAAGAGTATGTGCAAATGTCCAACAGCTGCTAACTCGAATCTATTCTCTTTCCACTTATTGTCATAGGTAAGTAAGAAGACAATTTAAGAATTAGAACCTAAATTCTTTTGCTTGAGGCTCCCATTCTCTCTGCCACTCCTTTAAAATTTTGTTTTCTAAGAAATAAAATCCAAGAGAAAGTCCTTAAGGCTTGATGTTCAGGCTTTTCAGAAAATAGGGAGGACAAATAACTCTTGTCACTGTCATTGTTTTTAAAATAGAACTAAAAAAAGTTAAATTCCTGTTTTCTAAGGAAATCTATTGGAAGAAATGATGAGCTTGATGAATATCATTAATCTGAAAAGAGACTATCATTTAGGCACTTAAGTTGTGTACATGTTTTTTTACCAGGACCTTTAGACTTTTAGACAGACTTTGGACACAATAGCTATCTCTGGGAATATTTTAGAATGTACAGTACATTAATCTTTAAATAGCACTATCTGGTTATAGTTATGAATTTCATTTTAAATTTGATTTGAAAAGAAAGATTTGTGATTCATATAATTTACAGTGCTGAAGCAGTTCAGTTGTTGACAGTTCTTGCTGTCTCCTGAGGGCAGGAAAATAGTCTTTGTACCAATACTGAAACAAACTAGTTGGAAAAAAAATAGTTTTCCTCATTCTTTTCTGTCTGTTCTAACAGGCACAACAGCTAAAGCACTGCTATCAGTCTGAGTTGCCCTAGCACTCACGGATGGCAAACTTGTAGTGGCTAGTATTTTATTTGCACACATTTCTGATGCTGCTTCTTAACTGTTGTGCAGAAGGATCTGTAACCTATTTTCACAGGAGGACATGCCTGAATTGCTTCACTTGTCTCTGAACCAGATAACTAAGCTGGCCCTCAGTTTCTGAGATCTTGCTGTGCTAGCCCCCAAACTCATTTCCTTAAAATGCATTTTACTTTCAACCAAAGCATTTTGTTACTTCGTGATGTAATCCATTGTTCTTAATGTTCAGGCTATTGTTTTATAACCATAAGGACATATTCCAGGAAGCAGGTAGAACATAGTAGTATACATCACTTGGCTTTGATTCATGAATCATAACATCTAAAAGGAATGTCATTTACAATCAATAGATGGGCTGGGGTAACTGGCCACAGGTTTAGGAATCTTTCTCCAATTCATTTGGCTTTAAAATTTAGCTCTTCTCATTTCAAGTGTGTCTTTATTAAAGCAATCAACTATTTATGATCTGTACCACAATGAAGAACAATAAACAGCGGCTGAGCATCACACAACAAGTCTAATAAGAAGAATGGTCTGAGCCCCCAGTGTAACACAGGGGGTGCGTAATGAAGCCTGAGTCCTCCAGGCATCTTCTCAACCTGAAGAAGAGCTGACTCTGGGGAAATATTATAGCAGCCCTCCAGTATCTGAAGGCAGCTTAGCAGCAGGAGGGAGATGAACTACACAAGGACACATGGTGATAGGACAAGTGTTGATGGCCTTAAAACCTTAAGAATATATGTTTGGTTTGGATATTGAGAAGAAATTCCTTGCCATAAGGCTTGTGAGTCATTAGAAGATGTTGTGGGTGACCCATTCCTGGAAGTGTTCAAGGCCAGCTTAAATGGCTCTTTGAGCTTAACGCAGAGTCTAGTGGAAGCTGTCCCTGGCAATGACATGGGGGGTGAATTTTGGTGAACTTTAAGGTCCCTTCCAACCCAAACCACTCTATTATTCTATGATATTATTCATACTGTACAGTAGCAGTAAGTCATTTAAGATTCAAATAACAGACTCTTGATTCTGAGAAACCGTCATCCAATGAGTTTAATTGGTTTGGTCTCACATATATGTTCAATTTAGCATTGCTATATCTAGTAACAGCCCTGGAACTTCAGTATCATACACACAAATGTTTTATAATTTTTAAGATTTCTGACATTTGGCAATTTCTTTCTCTTTCTTTCTTTCTTTCTTTCTTTCTTTCTTTCTTTCTTTCTTTCTTTCTTTCTTTCTTTCTTTCTTTTCTTTCTTTCTTCTTTCCCTCTTCTACTATTAAATAAAATATAACCATTTTTTGGCACCAACATCTAACCCTGTTTCGTTTTAATCACATTTTTGGATATATTTCAAACCTTCAAATTCTTTCCATTTTATACACAGACACTTAGTTTTCTTTGCACTTCTGGGTTTAAACCGGATTGTAACAGGACCCCAAAATAATGGGACATGGGGAAAGACCTGGGAGCTTAATCATTGTCACAGCAGGAAGGAAGAAGTCATAGTCTCCTGACACAATCCAGTTCAAACTGAAAACCAGGGGAACCAGTGGGAGATGAGTGAGTGCAGCCATTTACTGAGTGGTTTACTGTCTCCACTAGTGGGTTTCACTGTCTCAATGCAACAACCAGAGGATCCAGTCAGGCAGAGGATACCAAAACCCACCAGCATGCAGGTGTTGAAGGTGCCAGTATTGAATTTGCACCACTGGGGATGGATGGAACAAAGAAGGAGACCACCAGGAAGGATACTATTCTGGGATGCTGGTCTAGAATCAAATTGCAAAAATTTAGTATACTTTTGGTTGGGAGTGGGTTGGAAGGTGATGGGAGAATGAGGATGGGCAGTGTGAAGACAGCAGTAGTGGTAAAACTGAAGGAGAAAGGAGAAAACAAACAGGTGGAGAACTTACAGCCCCATGTCAACAGGGCTGAAGAGCGCAAAGTCTAGTGTTGGTATTGGGTGCCCAGCATGGGTTTCTCCTCTGGGGGGTCCCCACCAGAGCCCTCCATCACCCAGCACAAGGGGACAAAGAGGCTGTTACCCAAGGTTGAGCTCTTCCTCAGGGGCCCCCATTTCAACCACCAGCCAGTGATGATGGAATCACCCCATGTTTTAATCTGGGGTGACTCAGGGATGAGGGTACCCTTAGATTTCAGTTGCATAAGGTAGCACTGAGCCCCCAGCTCTGTGGTGAGCAATGAACCCTCGCTAAACATGGGAATCTTTGGTGATCCCTTAAAATGGTGATGGAGTGGTGGAGCATCACTGCCCCAAACCCTCTTTAACTCACTTCCCCAAATCCATCTTTTTTGGAGGGTGTTCAAAAATTTTATGCATACTTTCAAGCAGGGGGGGTGTTTAATAGCTCCTTGTACTTGACTTGGCTGAAATAAATGTTAGCCCCCAAAAAGTCTTGAGAATGTCTGTGCAGTCTGGGCATGAGGTTTCAGGGGGGTCAAAGACAGGTTTTCTGGGGCTGGCAGTAAAGGCAGGGGCGGGGGGAGTTGGGCTGTATTTTAGGGACAGAAGTGGATTTCAAGGGGCTAGGGCTTGGTTTGGGGGGCCTGGGGTGGGTTATGTTGGGCTGGAGATTTGGGGGTTCAGGATATATCATGGGGTGCTTAGATGGGTTTGGGAGACTAGGGAGAGGTTTTGGGAGTCTTGGATGGATTTGGGGAACAAGGGACTGCATTTAGAGGACTAGAAATTGGTTTTGGGTGGCTGTGTATGGGTCATGGAGGACTTGGATGGGTTTTGATGGACCAGGGAAAGGGGCTAGGGGGTTGAAAATGAGTTTTCAGGAGGGTGGGATCCATTCTGGGGGGACCATGGATGTGTTATTTGGTTTGTAGATGGATTTGGGAACAGCAGGGATGGATTGGGGGGGGGGGGGGGGCAGTGTTGGTTTCAGAGGGTTCCTCCACCCAGGATGCTTCTGTTGTGACATCATGTGTTGTCATAGTGATGTTGGAACCTACAGTGCTGTGAGGCTGGGTTGGGACAGTTAGGTGTCTCCAGTCCCCACTAGGTGCTGAACTGGAGGATCCTGAGCCCCTGGTGAAGAGCCAACCCACCATGGTGACACTAGCGGTAGGTGCCGAGTGCTATGACATAATGGCCATGGTGGGGAAGGGGACTTTTGGACAGGTGATCCAGGGGCAGTGCAGGAGCACTGGGGAGATGGTGGCCATCAAGATCCTGAAGAACTGTGATCATGATGGCCAAATAGTGAAGAATGAACTAAGGCTGCTGCAGGCTTTGCGGGAGGGGGACACAAAGGACTCTCACATCATCCATTTCCTTGAGTCCTTCAGTGACATGGTCTGGACCTACCTGGTCTTTGAGCTGCTGCAGCAAAACCTCTTTGACTGCCAAACTTCTCACCGCTGCCAGTCCGACACATCTGTACCATCACAGCAAAGGTGCTGGTGCCACTGGTCAAGCTGAAGGAGCTCTCCATCATCCATGCCGACCTTAAGCTGGAGAACATAATGCTCGTGGACCATGAACGCTATCCATTCCGCATCAAGCTTGTTGACTTTGGCTCGGCTATCCTCCTCCCTGAGGTCTGCCATGTCCAGGAGCCCTACATCCAAACACGCTTCTACCAGGCACCAGAGATCTTGCTGGGGTTGCCCTTCTGTGAAAAAGTGGACATCTGGTCTTTGGGCTGTGTGACGGCCGAGCTTCACTTGGGTTGGCCACTCTACCCTGGCAATGACGAATATGACCAGGTATGCTACATCTGCTCCACCCTGGGGCTACCCCGGGGTGAGCTGCTCTGTGCTGCCCAGAAGACACAGTCCTTCTTCCAACGTGTGCCATGTTCCACTGGTACCTGGCAGCTCAAACCACCAGTCAAAGCCAATGGAGAGGAAGGAGCATATATTTTCCTCACTGGATCAGTTGTCAGTGGTGAATATCTGCCCAATGATCCTGATCAGGAGGAGCTAGCCAAGCACTGTGATCTGTACAGCATGGTGGAGCTGGTCAAGAGGATGCTCACTTGGGACTCGCATGAGTGAATCACACCCAGTGCTGCTCTTCATCATCCCTTCATCCCCATGCAGGAGGTGAAGGCCAGCTTTGAGGCCACCTAGTACTACCAGCTCAGTCAGGAAGACCTGAGGGCATCCTGTAATGATTCCAGCATAACCAAGATCTTCCCAGGTACAGAGAAAGGTGCCTTCATCCCTGCCAGCCAGGGAGGCATCCAAAAGGCCACTGCCCAGATGGATGGGCTCAGCCTGGCTGAGCCAGCTGGGGACACTGGTGACAAGCATCAGCAGGATGTCTGTAAAGCCCCCAGTCTCGCCCACTGTGGAAGCCAGTACTGTCAGCATCACTGTTGTCCTCAGATGGAGCCCACTGAGGGTCACTTGGCTGTGCTGCGGTCTCCCATCAAAATGAAATGGTACAGCCACTGGTATGACAACCCGGTCAGTGGCATCATGGAACAGAACCTGCCTGGGACATGCTACAGCTCATCATGTGCCAAGGTACAGGGAGGGGGCTCCTGGGCATAGGCACTCTGGGACAAAAGGTGCTTGGGGTCCCTTATGTACTTGGGTTTCCTGCTGCCACATGTCCCCAGGTGCCTGAGGTTCCCACAAAAAAAGAGGTAACACTCACCCCCTCCCCATGCTTTCCCCCATGCTTTCCCACCACAGAGAGTTCTGGTGATGTGGCGCAACCCCAGTCCTCCAGGGATTTGGAGAATGGGCTCCAGAGGCTGGGCTGGGGCGCCCCTGCAGTACTCAGCACACTCCTCCTACCACAGAGACAGTGGCAGTCCCAGCACAACTGAGACCCCACAGCAACCCTTGCATACACTCCAGCAGTCCAAAGCCTGCAAGAGACCTTCTTCTTCCTCACCCTCAAGCACCCCAACCACCAAAACCCAGCGCCTTGCTGTTGGAGACCACAGTCAGGGCTGCAACAGAACATACTGTGCCAGATGCTACTAACTATGTTTCTCACATTGATCTCTCAATAAATATTTTTGCCAAAAACTGAGCATTTCAACTGAATATTTGCCAGGGGAGTTTGGTACTGCAAGACTTGAGGGATGTCCCAGGTTCTCACCCAGGGCCGGCAGAGTTCTTGGCAAAGGCCTGTCACTTTTCACCATTGCAGCATGGAGGACCCTCATCCCCAGGCTCAACAACAACATGAACTCCAGAAAACTTGCGTTTTCTGTTTTTTTCTCCTGTAGCAGGGCATCTCACACCCCACAAAACTTATCTGTAGCTTGTTAAGTGGTCAGGTAACTCAAACAGGGCAAGTTGTCTTGTATGAATTATTTTGATGCCATGGGGTTAATATTAGTCTGGCATCTCCCAGTTGCCAATAAACACCTTACTGTTGAAGTGAAATTTGGCAAGATAAGCTGGATTTCTGACTGACAGACACCTCAATTCACAAATTATAAAAGCTACTTTCACAAAGCAAAAATCTGCACATTTTTCTAGAAATGTCTGTAGTTTCTCCCCATAACAGGGATGCCTGCTTTCCAATTACTCCTCTGGAGGCTGAGTAAAAGAACTCTGTGTACATTATCATCATCTTGGTAGTAAGTTACATTTGACTCCTAATCAGTACTATTTCTTTTACTAGGTTTAATATAGGTACCTTGATATTGTGCACTGTTCTTTATGATCTAATAGTAGTTCCTTTAATTTTATACTGAGTAGTAAGTAACTCTGATTAAAATCTTTCATATTATCCCCCATCTGTTTAATAAATAATGCATAAATAGACCTAACGTGCTATCCTTAGAACTTCTGGGCCAGGATAATTTCTTAAATTTAAACTGACAAGGCTAGTCTAAAGCTTTTACTCACCCTGTGGCATTTCCCAAACTGGAGGTGGAAGCCAGATTCAGCACAGCCAGACCCAGTGGTTCCTCAGTGGTCTATTCCTTGGCCTTGAATGGAGCCGCAGAGGCTCTCCCAGCACTTGGCATTGCCTGCTTACAAACTGCCTGTGGCTGCTCTTGTGCGGTGCTGGTGGCATGGCGTGGCCAGCACCATCTCCACTCCCCCTGAGCTTCACCACCAGCACTGAGCTTGCTGGCTGCACAAAGCAGTCCCAAGACCAGTCGTATATCCCTGCAAGATTTTTGGGGAAGGACAAAACAATCCAAGAACCGCCCCAAAGCCACTGTCAGCAGCAGCTGCTGGTGACTCACCCAGAAGTGCTGACCCAAACCAAAATCCAGAGTGGAAGCTTCACAGGCATTCAGGACACCCTCCACCAATATCCCCACATAGCATCCTCAAATGCAGCAAGGGGCAAGCGTCCCCCCACCACCCATGGGACCCCCAAAACGAGGACAGGGAACCCCTCTATGACACATGACGCCCCCTAAAAGAGGCCAAGACCTCAAATAGGACAGTGATCTCCTCCCAGCACTCCTGGGATCTCCAAATGGGGTCTGGAACCCTCCCAAGCTCAGTTCTGAGTCCCCATCCACACTTTTATCCCAGCTCCTCAGCTCCCAGTCATGCCATCGTACTTGTGCTGGTGGGGGTCAATTCTGGGGGTTCATCTCCCCACAAACTCCTGTCACACATGTAGGGGTTGTCCTGCTCCTCCAGAATGGTATCCATCATCTTCTTCATCCCCATCCTATGTCTGGGGGAGGTGGGGATTCCCACCTGTCCCTCTCTGCTTCCCTGCAAGGTGTCACTTTGCTCTTGCTCTTGCAGCAGAGATAGTCATCGTCCAGCTCGTCCCCTTCAGGGTCATGGGGGAAACTGGGTGGAGAAGACTTTTTGATGAGGTGGGGGCCATGGATAGATGGAAGGACAAACACCTCCCTCTCCATTGAGGGGATGGGTGGATGGATGGATGGATGGATGGATGGATGGATGGATGGATGGATGAACAGACGGACAGCAGGATTGGCCAGCCATAGGCCATATGGATAGACAGACAGCAGAGATGGCCAGGCCACGGAGACAGATGGCCAGGATTGTCTGGACAGATGGATGGATGAATGAATGGCCAGATGAAATAATGTTTGGGATGGATGGCTACAGAGATGGACAGCAGGGATAGCCAGGATGAGGGATGGATGACTCATTGGAGTGGTGTCATGCCCTGGTGTGCTTGGAGGGTTTAGGGGAAGGTTCTTTGATTTACTTTGGGCAGTGTGTGGGAGAAACAACAAAATACTCAGGAAGTTCAAGAACAAACTTTTGCTTGCAAACTTTAGAATATTAAGATAGAATAAGGTTTTTAGCAAGTTTTAAAATGTAGCTGTTTTGGTTATTATCTATAGTAACGGGCAGAAAACCACACAATGAAAAGCTAGTGTCCATAAAGAAAACAGAGGAGTCCTGCAACTTTATGTGAATAAAGGGAGAGAGTCCACTGGGGCACATGCCTGCTGGGTTTTGTCTCTCAAAGTTTCAGAGGGCGCAGCCTCCTTCTATCCTAAACTCCCAGTGGTATGTTGCTCTTCCTTTCCCCATTGGCTGAGGTACTAGGAATGTACAGCCTTCCCGAACCACCTACCACTTATTCCCCCCTTTAACATATAATTTTGGCCCAAGTTCAGAAACTCAGACTTTTGCAGACCCATTTGCCATTTCAGGAGTCAAACAGTCTGGGTTCTGTAACAAACCTGTGGCTGAAAGTTAGTAGAGACATTAAGACTCATTTCAAAGATATTAATACCCATACCCACACCCATGGAATTGTTTGTAAAGACATTAGCATTCACCTTTCCTATCAATAATATAAAAGCATATAAATAACATTAAAGAAAATTTATAAGGAACAAGAAAGAATAAGAACAGAATGGTTATATAGTTATCATCCACAAGCAGGTCCAGCAACAAAACCTGGTTGTTGCAATTTTCATGTAAGTTGGTCAAAATCATGTTCACAGTCTCAATATAGCAGGGGTGGAGGAAGTCTGCAAAATGCAACGATCAATAGGTTAATATATGCCCAGGCTTGGTGGGAACACCCAGGTACCTCCCTTGGAGCAGGAGTTCTACACTCTATGATGTAACACTTCAGATGTGACACAACTGTTTTGAGTCTTTAACCATAACCATTCTAGTCTCACAGGTAGATGGCTGGACAGATGGAGAGAGCAGGGACAGCCAGGCCAAAGGGAAGGATGGTGAGATGGATTGACATAGGATAGGTGGGAGAGTGGACAGATGCTAAGTTGCCTGGATGGATGGACAGAGAGAAGGACAAAAGGACAGATGAATGGATGGACAGATGGCTGAGTACTGATGGACATCTGTGACAATGGGTGTCCCTCAGGGGCCTGTACTGGCACCAGTGCTATTCAAGGCTTCATCAATGAAACAGACAATGGGATCAAGTGCACCCTCAGCACACTGGCAGAGGACACCAACCTGAGCAGTGTGGGTGACACGCCTAGAGAACAGATCCATCCAGAGGGACTTGAACAGGCTCAATCAGTGGGCTGACAGGAACTTTATGAGGTTCAACAAGACCAAGTGCAGGTGCTGCACATGGGCCATTGTAACACTCAGTATCAATACAGGCTGTGGGATAAAGAGATTGAGAGTAGCCCTGCCAAAAAGGATGTGGGATGCTGGTGAGAGGCTAGACATAAGCTGTCCATGTGCACTGGCAGCCCAAAAACTAACTGTGTCCTGGGCTGATCCCCATAGCATGGGCAGCAGGTGAGAGGGGGTTCTACCCCTCTTCTTTGCTCAGACAGGACCCCACCTGCAGTGCAGCCTCCAGCTCTGGGTTCTCCAGCATAGCAAGGATGTGGACCTGCAGTCCAAAGGCCATGGAACTGCTCTGAGAAGCTCTGCTCTGGTGACAGACAAAGAGCCAGGGATGTTCAGCCCAGAGAAGGCTCTAGGGAGATCTTAGAGCCCGTTCCAGTGCCTAAAGGGGCTCCAGAAGAGCAGGAGAGGGACTTGGGACAAGCTGGTGTGACAGGAAAAGGGAGAATAGCATCATACTGATATCTATCAGGGTTAGATGGGACACTGGGAAGAAATTCTTCCCTGTGGAGGTGGTGAAGCACTGACATGGCTTGCCTATAGAAGCTGTGGAGCTGAGAATGTGTCACTTTTACTCAAGAGCATCCCTGAACCAGCCTTGGAACTTGATGCCAACTTGCCTCACTGGCAGTCTAGAGAGCTGCCTTCCAATCAGCTCTACCAGCAGGACATTGCCAAGGTATTACTGTGCGTTTCGCTTTTCTTTTTCAGGAACCATGTTCCACACCCGGAGACAAGCCTGTACCAGGAGTGCTGTGATGATTCCCACTAGCTGTCCAGGTCAGAGACATGCAGGTAAGGCACCACAGAGGAGACAGCACCATGGAGGACACACTGCCTGTCACTTCTCTTGCAGGAACTGGGTTTAACAGCAGGAGGGAGCCAGGGCACAAGGGCTCATAAAATCAAAAAATGCATCAAAAAGCAGCAAGTGAAGAGAAAAATGTGCAGATTATCAAGCCAAGATAGTGCTTTTACGTAACATCTGCCAGCACAATTGCAGTGAAAAGCATTGGGAGGTCAGGGAGTGGCTGAGTTCAGTGCCCAGCAGAGAGCCCAAGAAGACAGGAGAAGACAGAGGAGATTAAAAAGATGGAAAGTGGAAACTGAGGCCACTCATAGTGTGCAGGCCCTGGAGAAAGACACTGTTGGTTGAGCAGATTATGAGGAAGAGTAGTAACCTGGCTTGTATTGCAAGTTTTACATGATTTGCAAAGGTGTTTTTTGATGTCATGTGTACCTGAGAAGGTAAGAGGACAAGACACAAAGAATTTGTTTATGCAGATGCAATACATGTAGCTAAATAATAATTTATCTTGGTATTTCTGTAGTAAAGTATCTTTCCCTTTCTCAGAGGCTGCTGAAGAAGTGACTTTTACACAGGTCACCAGAGCATGACTGGTGCCAAGGAAGATCTCTGCACTTGGATGCTCATCTGGACCGTGCTCCAGCTCACATCCCCTACTCCCAACACCTTTCTCACTGGACTAGGTTGCTAGAGGGCACAGCAGTCCCAAGCACTGGCAGTGGAGCTTGAAGCTTTTCTCATTTTGGAGTGAGCTTCTAAGCAAGCTTAGGAGCTGGTGCTTTATACTTTCTGTGATAAAAAATGCCTAAATGTTTGTCTTGGTTTTGCCTAAGAAACTGATTTCTGGGATACCTGAGAAATAGGGCAGAAGGTATATGAACTGCAGCTTGTGTGAGACACTGCAGAATCATCTTCAAGGTGAAGTGTTGTCTTTTTTAAACAAACTCCACTGCCCAATTCTGCCAGGAAACCAATTTCTTCACCAAAAGGAGTAGCAAGAGTGGAAACCCACCTGCTTAACCAAACACCCATGTTAATGGGGACTGTTAGTGTCCATGTTTGCAGTCACTTGGTTTCCCTGTCTCTCTTGCAGAGACATCTCTCCCTGGATGTTGCATTTGGGAGAACAGGACTCACACACAGGGGAGCTGAGCCTCTGATCCAGGAGCCCTGGAGACACTGTTCCTGAGAATACTTTTTCCTTGAGATCGCTGCATGCAATACAGGTGTAAAAGCTCCCACCTTCCTGCATCACAGGCGAGTGTTCATATAGGAAGCCTTGAGTTAAACAAATTTTTAAAAACCCTGTCTGTTGTTTCTTGCATGTCTCTTTCTGAGTAGTTTTTCACCTTCAGGAAACAGTAACAGACCCAAACTCTCTATAGGACAATCAGAAACACCAGATGGGACTGGGTTTGGTTTGATGGTTTTATTGTTTCAATCATAAATGTCAGGTTTAATGGTCAACATTCTTCTGAGATATCTGCAGCCTTTAATGGTCACTGGCAGGTTATGCTGGGAAGCTTAGTGACCAGTACTGAACAGATCCATACAGAAGCCATATGCACTTGAAATGATTGTCAAGGAGTGAGGCAACTGTTGCTATGTTGCCACTTTTTAGTTCTCCTCTCTTGATGATGAATGAAGAAAAGTTCCCTTTCTTCATTCTTGCACCATCCTTCCCTGAACTTCTGCCATCAGGAAGCTCTTTCTGTCCCTGTGGGAACAGCTGAGCAGGTTCTCATGGTCATTTCCCAGCTGGTGGTGAGGGTGCCCTGCTTTTCCTGGGGGATAGAATGTCTGGCTGACTTCTATTCAAGTTCTCCCCCTTCTCAGTGTGTGTGGGCTTTTTACACCTCCTTGATTTCTTGCAGACTCCTTGAGGCTTCAGCCCTGTTGTTTTCTGGCACATTTGACATGACATGCAGAAGACTGAAACAGCACAAGGCTTTGGAAAATAGACCACATTTTTCCAGACATGTCTGGCCCTTTCAGGCAGTGACTCATCTTTACACTCTCAGATGTCCATTTTGCCTCTTTTCACAGCTGGCCCTTCTCAGAGAGCATGCATCTGGCAATTTACACAAGCCCAGTTCAGTGCCAGACAGCAAGGGAGAAGAAATGGCCTGTCAACTGCAAGACAGAAAGAACTTACCTGGACAAACAGCCATTCTCTCCTATGACAAAAAGCAAAACCCATCAGAGAAGACAGCAACAGGATCAGTAACACAAGAGAGAGTATATTCTGTATATCCTTTCACACTTGCTCCTACCTGGCATAGAAAACTAAGTATGTATTTTGGCAGAGAGAAGTCTTGAGGCATCATTCATCTTGTACCACTGCCCATCCCTGGCCTGCAAAAAAAGGTATTTTCAGATGAACTGCAGTGGTTTTTAAAGCAAAACCACAGCTAGGACGCACTGAAGGACACAATCCACCAATGCAAATCACTGAGTAGATTTTCACCCTCAGGAAACAGTAACAGACTCAAAAATAATCTTTAGAGTCATTAGGAAATGCCCTGAGGAAACTGTGTCACCAATCACAGGCTGAAGGTATAGAAATAGATCACCTTTGTTCACCAAAAGCAGGCATTGCCATTTTGGCATTTCAGTGGCAGAAAAGTGCTCTGCACCAACCCATTTCTGTACATGCCAAGTCAGGGCTGATCTTCACCCTGGAGCCTTCTCTTGCCACAAGGAAAGGGCAAGGCCCAGCTACAGCACTGATTGTGACAGCTGCACTCAGCCATTGAGTGTATACATGACTATTCCCAAATCAGGATTCTCATCCAGGAGAGGTCTCTTTCCAAGCAGAAAAGTTGCAGTGCACTTGTTTACATACCTTGCTCATCTTTCTGCCACAGAAAGCATGACTTCTGCTCAAGCACACTCAGGACATTGAAGGATGTCCTGTAAACCTCTCAAAGGCAGTGTTCAGATGATCAAACCTTGAAAACAAGCACAGACCTAACTGTTGCAATCATAGAATTAGTGGCAAAGATCCTGAAGATTGAGACCAATTTCTCCCCCACCACTGCCAAGGTCACCACTAAACCATGTCCCCAAGTGCCACATCTACACAGCTTTTAAACCCTTTCAGGGATGGGGACTCCAGCACTATTCTGGACAGTCTGTGCCAGGGCTGGACGAGCCTTTCCAGAAATTCTTACGGATGTGCAACCTGAACTTCCTCTGCAACAACTTGAGGCCAGTCCCTCTTGTCCTGTCCTTTGTTGCCTAGGAGCAGAGCCTGACCCTCACATGACTACATCCTTGTGCCAGGGAGTTGTGGATAGCGAAAAAGTCCCCTCAAGCCTCCTTTTCTCCAGGCTGAGTACTCCCAGCTCTCTCAGCTGCTCCTTGTACTTCAGACCCTTCCCCAGTTCCATTCTCTTCTCTGGACATACTCCTGCCCTGCAATGTTTTTCTTGTAGTGAAGCTCCAAGAACTGACCCCAGGACTAGAGGCACATCACTACAGGTGGGTGGTCACTGCCCTGGTTCCACTGGCCACACTGTGGCTGGTACAGCCCACGTGCCATTGGCCTCCTTGCCCACCTGGGCACAACTGGGCTCATGTTCAGCCGGCGTGTGCCCAGGGGGACAGGGAGTTGAACAGCAGGCCTTCCCAGCCGAGCAGTGGTCTACTCTGGGGAGTCCGAGCTGTCCCAGCAGGATGGAGCTCCGGACGCCACCCCGATACCGCAGACACAGTCTGGACACACCGAACACATCCCAGACATCCCGGAGAACCTCACCCCCACAGCCCCGCCCTGTCTCTCCTTCCGTCCCCGTTTCCACTTCCGCCGCCGTTTCCGCTTCCGGCAGTGGTACTGCGATGTCGGCTCTGGCGGCGAATCCCAACAACCCCGTGGTTTTCTTCGATGTAACCATCGGCGGGCAGGTGGGGATGCTCCAGGACGGAGTGGCGGCGCCCGCGGAGGGACTGCGGGGATAACTAGGGATGTCGGAGTCTTGTGGGGATGAGAGAGCGCAGGAGGTGCGGGGGCTCAATGTGGGGCTTGCGGGGCCGCAGCTGGAAGCTCTGGGAGGGGCGGTGCCAGGAGACGGATAGCGGGCCTGTGGGGAAGGGCTCGCAGGGGAGAGGAGAAGCACTACGTTAGGAGGGACGGGCATGAATGGGGGTGAATAAGGTGACCGGATCTGTGGGAGTATTCGGGGTCGGGCGGCAGGCGTCTTTTTGTGAAGGGACCTGGAAGACTCACCTAGCCCCCGTCTGCTTAGGATGTTGGCCGCATGAAGATCGAGCTGTTCGCAGATGTCGTACCCAAAACAGCAGAGAACTTCAGGTAATGAGCAGCTACTGTTCCTGCAGCTCAGCCGGGACTGGAACTGCAAAGGCTTTCTGGTGCAGGAATGGCTTTTGGTAGCAAACTGATTAGCTAACTCCCACCCCAAACTGCTTCACCTGCTTTGTGTCTCTCTGTTCTCAGAGATGCTGTGTGGCATCCTGGGCTCTCAGGGGACCCTGTCTGGCTGGAAGGGGTCCTCCTCTGCCCTCCTCTCTGAAGCCTTCTGATTTGCTCCATGCATTTAGAGCAGACAGTGCCTTGTGTCATGGTGGAGGTCTCCTGGTCATCCTGTTTTCCTGCCATCAAATGAGGAATGCACCATGTGAAATCCCACTTCCATTGGAAGGATGGACATACCCTGCTCTCTATCAAACACACTGTCTGCCCCATATTCACAGTGTCTTACAACCTTGGTGTTAACTCTCTGACCTCCTCACGACAAAAAGCACAGAATATGTTTTGAAATGGCAGGGGGAAGGAATTGCCAAATCCTGTTTCTCTGGGAACATCTCTGACACAATAAGGAAAATCCTGTGCACCAGTTTGTGCAGCCCTCAGAGTTCACATGCACCTAACACTCTGCTCTCTTTTTGTTTGCCAGGCAGTTTTGTACAGGTGAATTCAGGTAAGTGGATTATAATGTCCTTTAAGTGTCCCACTGAGAAACAGGGCTGGGTGAGGTAGAAAGGGTTTGTCTTGAACTTTTTTATGTTGTACTAGTACAAAATGGAAGAGAAACCTGCTCTGAGGAAGTTGTGAGGGGCTTGGAGACTCACAGAGATGGCAGGTTTCGCTTTCTGATATTACTTTTTTTGTGCCCACATGGCTCTATAAGCTCTATCTGCAAAGCCCACCTGCTTATGCTGCACATTGCAGTGGGATCCTGTGAAGGTGATGATGTGGGTGTTATAGGGAACAGAGTCATTCATGTGCAGAGCCCACTTGAGGCTTTTTTTTGCCTTCAACAGCAGCAGCTGAGAGGCTGCGGCACTTGTTTGTATTTCAAGGCAGCTGCTAATGTACACAGCAACCCTTTGGGACTCTGAATTGTTGGGACTATTTTGTGTTGGGATATCCGGTAGGTTGCAATAATTCTCCTTTTCACTGCCCTACAGGAAAGATGGTGTCCCTATAGGTTATAAAGGAAGCACTTTCCACAGGTAAATCGTAGACCGTTGTTTGCACACTAAATAGCAGCCTGAGCCATACAGAGTTTTGTGAGCTGCCTTAAGCTATTAGTGGTATTGGAGACATTTGCGGATCATGGCTAATGTAATTCTATGGCTTTGGGGGACCTGGGGATGCTGTCCTCCCCACTGGGAGGAATCCCCTGTTTCTGGTGTGCTATGTCAGATAAGGCATCTATCACACAATCACTATCTCTGTACAAAAGCAATGAGTCCTAAATGACCTCATATCAACAGTTAATATTTATTGTAGATTTTAGGCTGCAGCATTCACAAACTGTGTTAACTTCTGTTGCACAGCAAGGCAGAACCTCTTTTCATGTTACACTGAGCTTCTTGAGGCTTTTGGCCACTGGGAACTAAGTGTTGTTTTACTTCTTTAGGGTAATAAAGGATTTCATGATCCAAGGAGGTGACTTCGTAAATGTATGTACTCTGGTACTCTTTTTGTCCTTTTCCTCTATGGTATAACATGCTACAGTTTCCAAGGGTCTTTGCTGATTTGTGGGATCTCCTTCTTTTCTGAGGTATCCAGTAGTAGCTGGAGGTATGCTCATAGCATTGCTGCCATCCTACTGCAACAGACACTAAACCTCTTGAAAAGGAATCTGGAGCCTTGTGAACAGGCATTCTTCCCAAAATATTTTCTCTCTGCAGTAGCCTATCAAAACCCTGGAAGCTTTCAAAACTTGAAAAATTTTGTTTGCCCTGTTTTCCTTCCCCCTTCTGATGTCCTCCTCCAGACAAAAACCTCTGTGAATTTCAATTCATATTGTAGATAGACCCTAAATACAGAACCCAGTGCGTAATGTAAGAGGTCATTTAAATCAAAACTAACCTTTTGTTACTAAATTGTCTCAAAATAGAAAAGTCTTTGCACCCACAATGGTGGTTGTGCTCTGACACAGGGATAAGAATATATGAGTAAGGCTGAAGGGTCACGGTATCTTCATTGTTCTAGGATCCAGTAAAATTATTTTAATTTTGGAAGCATTTAAAAATATGAGGGAAATTATAAAGCTTTTTTAATAAACAGCTTGGTTGTATGAAAGTCTCTGAGAGAAATGACCACACAGCAGGCGGTTCAGCAACACCAGACTCTGTTGTAGTTGCTAGTTGTGACACTGCTCAGATGAACCAGTGCACTGTATTACTTGCACTGCATCTCAACAGACTTTACAGATTGCTCCAGTATTTGGAATTGATATATTGTATTTATTACAAAGCCACAGTCACACTGACCCCTGAGACAGGGTGCAAATTTCTGTCTCAGAGCCAAAAGTTTAAGTAAACTACAGAGAGCAGGAGGGAAACAAACAAGGGCTGGGCAAGTAGAGCAAAAGGAAGTAGTAGAAAGTACAAACATAAACAAAAAATCCTTATTTTAGAAACTACCCTTGCAGAACAGAGAGATTGCTTTCCTATTTCCTGTAAAGTCACAGAAAATAAGGTGAAATACATAAAAGCCCTGTAAGCAAACTTTTGCCATGTAACCACTTCTGCTTTCTTTGTCACACCATCCCATACTTCTGGGTCTCCTCCCTTTTCCTTTCCAAGTTCTGATGGGTCTGTACCAAGCAATCTGTAGCCTCCATTTTGCTCTGGGAGGCTTGGACTTAAACTTACCATCTGCATGGACTTCTGCCAACATATGAATTGTGAACAATGATCTTTGTAGTTAGAAACCATTTGCTGTTCTTGTTCAGAAATGAAACACTGAATGTGTTCACTGCTAGTGTATGTAAATGGCAGTACAAAATCCATTTTGCCCTTTCCTCTTGCTTGGAAATATTAAATTATTTTTTAAATTGAATTGTTCTGTAGCAGTTGCTACAGAACAAATGCTGTAGCTGACTAGGTGCCTCTGTCATGCAGGGAGACGGCACTGGAGTAGCCAGCATATATAGGGGTCCTTTTGCAGATGAAAACTTCAAGCTGAAACACTCTGCTCCTGGCCTGCTTTCTATGGTGAGTGTAAAATAATGGCATCACAGACTAAAAAGCTTTGGGAATTTTCTCTGTGCTCTTTTCTTAAGTGTATATAATATTTGCTGGACCACAACATCTCTGCCATTTGGTACAAGTTCTGTTTTGTAGCTACTTGTCGAGCAGATACTTCTGGGTTAATATGTTGAGTAACACAAAAGTCCTGATTCTGTAGCATCCTTTCTTTGCTTCCTGTTGGAGCGCTGGGACAGGCTTGGCTTGATTGCTTTCAGAAGAGCTTAATTCTTACAGTTTTCATACAGTGGTGAGTTGGTGGTGTTTTCTTCTTTCCTGTTCTCAAACCTTGGCAAGGATGAAACAGAGAGATTTGGGAGTTCCAAAGCCACAGCAGTGTTACCATGCTATCTTTTAAAACAGACCTTCCTATTCAACATAGTAGGAGAAACTGCAACCATTGCACATTGTCTGGTAGGAGCAGTACTCTAAGTTTTGGAATAGAAAGCAAATGCAGATAGTATTTCAGTATTCCTATCCACAACTGCTTCTTCCCCAGCTCTTTCAGATGCACTGCCCTTAAAACCAATTGCTTAGGACATTTAATAATTTGGATTAGTTATTCATCCATGTTGAAAACATGGCCCAAAAAGAGGTGTCATGGCACAGCTAAGCAGCTAGTATACTGTGGTGTGAGAGAAGGGATTCACTCCAGTTTTGCCAGCTTTGTGTTAAAAGTGGCATGGCTCTGAAGTCATTATACTGTGTCAAACCTTGAATCCCAGGAACCATGGATCCCAGCTGGATTCTTTTGAAGCTGGCTAGCATTAACTAGAAAGCCAAAATGATCCTGTCCTTTGCAGTCCTGCAGCTGCAAAACTTGACCAGTTCACTCGTCAGGAGAGAAACTTGCGTTAGTACTCATGGTTGTCAATATTGCAAGTGGCCTTCAGTATTGCAGACATGTTTCCTTAACAGAGTGCAAATGCTCTAGGTTTTGTACTTGGGTGTGAATAAAATTTCACATGTGCATCCCACAGTTCCTGTGATTCCTGTGCCAATATAGTTGGTACTTTTCTTGTCATGGTCATTAAAAATTTTTTATTTTTATTCTGAGGAAACCTCCCAAAAACCAGAAATCAGCTGGGTATTTTTCTTGCCCTGGTTTCTGGTGTTCAGTTTTCCTCAGGGTAATACTGCAGCCAATAAATAATTGTCATCAAAACATTCAGCCTTTTTTCAGGAGTGTGCTCTAAAGCCTGGACTTTGACACAGTCTTGTATTGAACATGTCTTTGTAGATGTATAATAAATAATTGGTGACGTGGCTCTTATGTGTTCTGGTGTGACCAGAGGTGGTGACATGCTACATCCCAGCACAGGGTGCTCTCCTGCAGATACACATTTTGTTTCCTTTGGTTTGTCTAGCAATAAGCTAAAAATAATACCTACTTGAGCAACACCTCTTCTTTATGTGTCTGCCTTCAGTTTTGGTCAGTCTGAAATGGTATACTTGTTGTAATTTGCCATTCTCAACCCCCAGGCAAACAGTGGTCCGAGTACCAACGGCTGCCAGTTCTTCATCACTTGCTCCAAGTGTGACTGGTTGGATGGGAAACATGTTGTGTTTGGTGAGTACCTGCAGTAAAAGTCCTGGAGTACCAGCTCACATACATCTCTGCAGGGCAGCTGTTAAAATAAATAATGAGAATCAGAATCTTCTCAACTGGGAAGAACCCAGAGGGATAATCAAGACCAACTCCTGACCCTGCACAGGTCACCCCAAAAATCCCACTCTGTGCCTGAGAACACTGTCAAAATTCTCCAGTACCTCTGGCAGCCTTGGGGCTGTGGTCATTCCCTGGGGTGCCTGTTCAGTGCCCAACCACCTCTGGGTATGGACTGCTCATTCTTCCCTCCTCACTTGTGCTATCTGAGGGATCTGTGCAACCTGATACTGTGATGGATTACTGTTGGATCACTGTTGAAATGAATCATTTTTGCACAGGTTAGCTTTAATCCAGATCAGTGTACAGTGTACTGTATTTGTACACAAATCCTTGTACCAGTGCAGAGGGCACAGATGAGTGAAAGGATTCCTTTCTTCTCCACTATCACAGAGGGCTGAGCTCTCACCAGAGTTTTGGACAGTAATTCTGTGAAACCATATCTGCTAACTTGCATTTACTGCTGGTTGAATTGTAGGAGTTCCAGGCCAGTATTAGCTGGTGGTCTCAACACCCAAATTTCTACACATCACCCCTGTGATGGGAAAAGGCACTTAATCTGTGCTGAATGTGATGAATGTTTGAAGAGGGATTGTTTCCTTTATGAGTTTAGAGATCAGTAACAAACCCTGAAGTGCCCAATAGCTACACACTGCCCAGGGCTTTTCAGGAAGGACAGAAATGCATGTACCTGTGATGAGTGGGGGGGGAACAAAGGTGAAAAACAGCCATATTGAAGTGGATAAACTTTTTCATTCTAGGTAAAATTGTCGATGGGCTGTTGGTCATGAGAAAAATTGAAGTAAGTTTGAATATGGCTACTTCCTTGTGAATGCCTGCATTGGAAAGTTATGTACGTGATTAAGTAGAGTTGTCATGCTGTCTGTTTACAGGATACCAGGGAACACCAGAGTTGATAACTGGCATTATTGGTTGTCATCATTATAATGTAGCAGGAAATCTATTGAAGCAAGGCTGTCATATGAGTTGGCTTTGGAAATGCTAGGATCTTGTGACTGTGATAGTCTTTGAGTGGGGATTGCACTCTTGGCTTTATTAGCTTTGCATTTGTTCAGAGGCTGAATTAAAAAGTTGTTCCATCAGCAGCTCAGACAAGAGCGTAAAGCATCTCACTTCTTTGCCATTGCCTGGGATTATTCAGTGGATGCAAAATCATCAGTTCTGCTGATCCATGATCAACATGTTTAATAAGAAAAAATTAAGCTAATCTCCTCATGGGCTTCCAGAGGCTGAAGATAAATATAGTCCAGGTGATGATTTCTGCCAACATCAGGCCTGGGTGTCATGGCAGCATAATGAATAGATTTATCAAATAGTAGCAAGTTCTCTGAGACAGCCAGTGTTGACTCCATGACATATGTGGGATAATGTGCACAAGGGTCTCTAATCTAGAAAGCGGGGCAAAACACAGAGCTGTTGAGCTTTGAGAAAAAGTCACATGGAAGGAGTAGTACAGCGTGGTATAGTCTGCTGGAGCATTGTGGTGAGCCTGCTTTGCGTATCAGTACAGTGAGACCAAAGTAAAGAAAATTAGAGATTCAGAGAACAGATGAGTCCAGTGCATCAGGAGTTTCAGAATGCGGGTTTTTTGCCACTGTCTCTTTCCTTTCTCTGTGAGCACAGGTTTGTTTTGCTTGTGGCAGCTGCTTTTAGTATCAAAGCCAGAGCAGCCTCAAGTATCTCCATGATGAGCTCTCCAGTTTTTACACTGTTCCTTTCCTCCAATTCAAAGGACCAGCCTCTGGTCTGTATCCCAAACCTCTGCTTACAGAGGGAATTCACCAGCTTATGATTGGGCCTGTTGCCAAATGTGTAATGGTGCTTTTCTACTCCTCAGAGCTGTGTCTGGAATTCCCTATTCCTCGTATTACAGAGATATCTCTTAGCCAATCTTCCAGCACCTGTCACTGCCTGGGTTTGCTGTGCTTTTGTAAGTTTTAATGTTCTTTATTTGTTTGCCCCCAGAATGTGCCTACAGGTCCCAATAACAAACCCAAGTTGCCAGTTGTGATCTCTCAGTGTGGGGAAATGTGAAGTGATGAAAAAGCAATGTGGTAAGTCTCAGTCTTCACAGGCACAGTGCTATGAACTCTAGGCTGCTCTGCTTCTTACTTTTCTCTTGACTTATTTTCACATTTCTTTGAACCTGCAAAGAGCTGTGTCAGGTCATTGAAACACCAGAAAGTGCTTCTCTAACAGCATTTGTTTTTTGCCAGCTGAAGTCCCAGAACTGGCTTCCTTCCAAGCTGCACAAACACCAGAGGCAGCACAGCAGGAATAAGATTTTGCAGGTGTAGTCAAGGGGAAAATGGGTTTGTGGGAGCTTTTTCTTGGATTGGGTTAGGCTGCCTTGAAGCCTAGATTGTAGAAACTGGATGAAAGGGAGTTGCAGCAGTAATCCCTCTAGCATTACCCAGGCAGTCTGGTTGGTGGGAAGCCTCACTTTGACCTGCAGATTGGAGAACTTCCAAAAAACTACAAAAATCAGACTATCCATGGGTGGGACAGGCAGGGATCAATAAAAGGAGAAGAGAAAGGGAGGACTTTTGAGCCTCCTTGCTCAGTACCGCTGTAGGACTGACACTACTGAAGGACCAAGGAGTTACCATTTTGCATAGTCTTACCTTGACTTGAAAAAAGTACCACTCCCTCTATCTGAAAAGAGATGTTTTCACTATTTACTGTTACTTAGGTTTCATATTGGTTAAACCAATAGTCTCAGGCTAACATACAGTAAGTGTTCTGTCTCCATTTGTTAGCTCAATTTACTGTAAAATCTACAGGTATTTAAATCTGTCTAGATTTCAGTGTGTTGGGCTGCAGCTTGTCAAAAATCTGCTGTATTAGCCTTTTGGTTGCTGATTTTTTCCAAATTTCAGGAGGCAGTTTGGACTCACAATTTTATACTCACAATACTCACAATTTTTGACCTTCCATTAAATTATATCCAAAGGCAACTGGAATTGCAAAAATGTTCCCTCTTTTGTAATAAAGTCTTAGAGACCTGCAGCACTTCAAACTCTTGGGAGCTCTTGCTATTTGATGAAGTTTCAACAGGGAATGTAATCATTCTTCCATTCCCCTGGTTCTTCTGGTGGCATTTACAGGCTTTTGAAAAAAGTCTGCTAGTAAGGCTGTCTCTTTTCTTGCAGAGCTGTGTTGAAGGGTCAGGTCTCCTTTAGATTTGTACTCCATCCCAGACTTTCTTACCATTTTAGTTTGGAGTACTGTGTCCCTGGCAATCCCCAGCTTGAGCCTGGAAGCTTCACATTCATAGGTGCAATGCTGGTGCCAGCTTACTTATTTCCCTAACAGGTCTTAGGAACAGCCTTGCTGCACTCTCATGTCTCTCATCTGACTGGGAACAAGAACAGCTTTTGCATTGCCTGACGTCAGAAAGCTATATCAGCTACTTGTCAAGATCCTTGAAAATCAGCTGGGAGAAACAGGCACTCTTGCTTTTAACTTCAGAAGTAGATGCAGTTGCCTGACAGGCAGATCCAGGAGGATTCCTGAGTTCTCTGGATGATGAAAGCTGGTGAAGCTTGTGTGTGTAGCAACTGGCATGCATTTAAAATTGCTGTGTGGCCCCCAGTATTACTGCACAGCCTGGCTGTTGTAGGATCTGTTGGGAATGGTTGTCCAGCATTTAGACTTACATGTTTCTTCTTCCTTTCAGTGTTCCTTTACTGGTGATTAGACCTGTGCTGGCTCCAAGCAATTCCAGTTCCAGCCAGCTCACCCACTGCCCAGACTTCTCCACAGGCCAGATCCATCCTCTTGATGTTCTCCTGAAATTATTTAATAATGGGCTTTTTTTTTTTTTTTTTTTTTTTTTTTTTTTTTTTTTTTTTTTTTTTTTTGAAATGTAATTAAAAAATTTTTAAACATGTGCAGTGCACATCAATTAGCATTAGTGGGAATGGATTCTTCTCTAGGTGAAAAGGGCTGTAACATCTTCAGCAACATGCATTGTCCCTGGCCAGTTAGTCAGGAACATTTACTGATTGGTATTGAAAGAAGGGGTGAAAGGAGCTTGGTAGAGCTGTGCTGCACCAGCTCTTTCACTCGGCAGGTAACTACAACTGCCTGGCTGGCAGAAAGGTTGTTGGCACATCTTGGGAATCTCCAGAACTGAGGAATTGGTATAGCACAGATTCCATCACCGTGAGTGCTACACTCTGAGGAGAGTTCTGATGTAAACAGGTCTTTCAGTCATCGAGCTGTTATGTGCCACATATGTTGGAGGAGGGGTTCACCTGAGTACTTACAAGGGTGTTGGAGCAGGCTTGGGAAAAACAGAATGGTGATGCTATAGGAATGAAATTGGGGCTGCTTGTCCTGTTTAGTGAGGAGAGTGCAGCTGAGGCTGCCTTTCTTCCAGAACAGGGCTGGGAGCTCACCCTCCTGGCAGGGGACAAGCCAGCACCCTACACAGTGCTGGGTTCCAGCAGGAACTTCTCATCCAGCTGTTTAAAGGTAAAGGACCTGATGAAAGTTAGGACAGAGTCTGTTCTGTCACATGCAGGTGATTCATCCCATGTGGAAAGATCCCAACTGTGCCTGGGCAGTGGGTATAGGGTGCACTCTCTGCCTGACCTGAGCCTTGCCCAGCACTGATAGGCTGGAGGAAGTTCCCACAGGCTTAGCTGTGCTCTTTTCTCTCATGGCTCTTTGAAATCCTAGGAGAAGGCTCTGGCTGTCAGGATTCCTACGTCCTCATTCCTAGAATTGCACAGCAGCTGAGAACACTCACTTCTCTCCAGCCTGAGGCATGTCACTTTGTACCTGCAGAACATCAGGTGATAAAAGAAGCACAAGCACCCCAGTCCTTTCTTCCTCAGCCCCACACATGCTTTGCAGAGGGCTCTCCTGTGAGAGGAGGGTTGAAGATTCTCAACAGGCTGGCTCAGGTGCCTCAAGGAGCTATGCCTGGCAGTGCTGTGCTGAGGTTTGCACTTCTGGCTGCTGGTATTCACCATTCAAAAAATTCACCATTTTTTCACCAGGGAAACAAGTTTATTTCTGGTCCAGGATTAGCAGCACTTTTTCAGCCTGATGTATTTATACCACTGCCACCACCTGGCCTCACTTCCTGCATAAAGGGGTCACAGAGCTTCCCCAGATTAATTAAGAGTGGCAAATCCATTACTACCTCTTTGTTATTACAATGGCTAATTACATCCCATTATATTTCCCTTAAACGTGGAATGTTACCTGCTGGCTGAAAGTCTTCTCAAAAACCACATTTTTTGTTTTAATTCCTCCATGATGGTGTCACCCTTGTGTTGTATGTAGCAAATCCTGGAATGTCCTGTAGAGGAGATGATGGAACTCCTGTCAGCTTCCTTCAACTGTGGATGCTGCAGCTGGAGATGGTATTTCTGGTGGCCTGTGCATTTCCTTGAGGGTCTGAGTTGCCTTTGGATTTCACAGTGTTACTCCACAAAGACATCATTGGGGTCCACAGTTTTGGCTGTAGGTGCATGGCTCTGACATTCCCACACATTTCCTCCCTGGAGTTTTCTTCCTCATGGGTGGCTGCCTGGTGTATTCCCTAATTTGCATTCTATAGTAAGATTATTTTTCAGGTGACTCACTGAAGTGGTTTTGGTTTGTTAATTTAAGATTTCTTTAATTTTGAGATTTTTTAATTAATGTGTTGAAGAGTGTGATGAGTTTTAGTGTTGGCTAATCACTTATGTATTTATTTCTTCTTGTGAGATAGGAAGATAGGATTAGGAGAATGGTAAAGTAGGCTTAAAATTTTAAAAGGTATAAAGAAAATTCTATTAACACTAATTAAAAGAAAAAGATAGTAAGAATTAAAATCTTTAGAATATTTTTTCTTTATTTTATAACTTTTTTTAAACTGATTATGTAAAGAAATGAAATTTAAAATTTTTAGTTCATTTAATCCTTTTTAAATAGTTTTTTTTTTTTCTCATACAAAACTATGGCAGTCACTAAGCAGCATCCAATTTTGACATCATTCTAGCTTTTTTATCCAGGTCATCATCCTGGTGCTGATCCTGTGGGACTGTGTTATTGTTTTCAAGCCCTTCCCTTCATTAACTGAGTTGAAGATCAGGTGGAAGAGTTCCCAAGGGAGCAGGATGAGACCAATGTTCCTAGTGGGTTGATGTGGTGGGTTGAGCTTGGCCTCATTCGAGTCCTTCACCTGGCCAGGGTGGAATGTAGGGAACTGGGATAGTGAACTGGATGGTGATTTGTGTGCAGTGCTGAAAGGGCTGATCCCAAGGGGATACGTGTTGCTTGCAAAAATGGTGGAGTGGTGGGTCATCTCCCAGAGACCTTCTGAGTGGTTGCTGATGACCTTTCCCTCCTCCCATGTCAGACGAATGACATGACCAAAGCAAGAAATGTGGCCACCAACCACATTCTTCAACTAAGGAAAATTAACTTGTTGGACAAGGACAGGGGTTTCCTCGGGACCTTCCCTTTGGGGAACCCTGCAAGAGATGTCGGGTACCTCCAGGCCGCTGTAAGGTGAATCCATAGAGGTAAGGAGGTGCTGAGAGATGGTGGCTGGAGAAAGACTCTAGCAGGGTAAAGGACCCAGCACTAATGCTTTTCCGACAGCCTGAGTGGGTAGAAGGGCTCAGGGTGAGAAGCTGCTCCCGCCCTTCCAGGGAGGGAAGGATGCGATGTCTAGGGAAAAGCTGATTCCCCGCGGGTCAGGTCAGTGCTGTTACTGCACATCCGGACATGGACTGGGGAGCTCTGACAGCTCCAAATCCGTCATTTCCCACTGGTATTTAACGCTCCCGGGCCCTTCTGGCAATCATTAACGGGAGAGGGCGCCCCCGGCGCGCTAGGCCGGGAGCCGCCCGCAAGATCGCTCTGCCCTGGGTCTTCCAGCGAGCGGAAGCGGGGTCGGGGACAGCGCCGGACAGAAGCCACCGGCGCATGGTCGCGCGCACTTCCCCGATCGTGCCCGGTGGGGGCGGGAGCGGCGGCCGGAAGGGCCAATCAGGGGCGGGGGCGGGGACTCCGGGTCGCCCGGTGAGAAAAGCTGGCTTGGCACCCACGGGCGAAGCAACCAATGGCGCGCGCTCTTGGGGAAAGGCAGGTGTCGTCGCCAATAGGTTTTCGGTGGGGGGCGGTGGCGGGTTGGGGAAAGGCCAATGGGGTCGCTCTCCGTTTAACGGGCGGGCCGGATGGCGAATCGCGGCGCGTGCGGGCGGGGCGCGCGGGGTGACTAACCGGTGCGCGCCGCCATTGTGGCCAGTTCGATCGGTATCGGGAGCGGAGAGCGGAGCTCAGCGAGCCCGGAGCAGGGAGCAGCCCCCCCCCCGCCCCCACGGCCGGCCTCAGTCACCATCACACCGCGGGAGGCGGCGCAAACAGCAGTCACCACCACCGTCCGCACCGAACAGCCGCCGCCATGAGCAGCGAGGCCGAGACCCAGCCGCCCGCCGCCCCCGTCCCCCCGGCGGCCCCCGCCGCCCCCGCCGACTCCAAGCCAAACGGTGGGACCGGGAACGGGGGCAGCGGCCTGGCCTCGGCGGCACCTCCCGCTGGCGGGGACAAGAAGGTCATCGGTGAGGGCAGCTTGGGGTCCCGGGGTGGGGTGGGAAGCTCCGATCCCACTGCCTCTCTCCCTCCATGGCTGAGGTTGGCGCGCGCTCCCTTCCGCCCGGAGGGGCTGTGCGCGCCCCCGGCTCGTGTCCTCGCTCGCGCGGCGGCCGTTAGTCGCCCCCCTCTCCCTCCCCGCCCCGCGCGCCGCCGGCCCCGCGTGCCGGGTGGGGGCGGGGCAGCGCAAGATGTCCGCCACGCGGGGCCTTTGTGCGCGCGCCCTGCCACGTGCCCCTGACGTGCCGCTCCCTCCCCTCCTTCCCCTCTTCACTCTGCCCCTTCCCGCAGCAACGAAGGTTTTGGGAACAGTGAAATGGTTCAACGTGAGGAACGGTTACGGCTTCATCAACAGGTGAGTGCCCAGACGCGGCGGGCCTTGTCACGGGGAGCCCCGGGGAGGGGGGCGCGGCACTTGTGTCCCGCGGGTGACAGGCGGGGGCGGGGAGTGGTGGTGCCTTTGCCGCCTCTCGCCCTTCTTGGTAGAAGGAGCTGGTACGATTCGCCCTTTCTCCACCCCGGGGTTTCTGTCCTGCTTGGGGCTTCCTTGGGGTTGGCTTTTGAGTCCTTTAACCCTGGGCAAGAGCTGCGCTCTCGAAGCGAGTCTGTTTCCATGGCGATGTGTCTTACATTATGGTCTATCCCTTTATGGTGTTTTGGGGTTTTTTTCCCCCCTTAAAGATATAAAAGTGCACTGGCTGTCAGCACACATTTAAACTCCTGCGTAAAGTTCAGTCAATGCAAGTAAAAATTGCTTTTAGCACTTGGTAGTTTAAACACACTCTAATGAGGACACTGTCAGCATATGGCAAAATGAGCAAAAGGAGCATAGTTCACACATTCTAGTGCCACACTCAAGTGCACAGACTGGTCTCATGAAACAAGTGCCTAGAAGATTCTTTTTGTGACAGTAGTTGATGTGAAAGACTAATTTGAACGCTTTGAGAAGTATGTAGGTACCTGAAGTAGGTCTGTCAAGGAGAGGAAGTGCTCTGCAAACAAGTTTTTAGAAAATGGGCAATTCTTGGCTCCATTGGCTGGAGGGGGGCTCCCTGGACTGTTGCTAGAGCTGTTTCCCTTATTTTGTGGTACTTAAACTCCCCAGTCTCAGAATGAGGCTGTGTACTGGGAAATCCCCTTTAGGCCAGCAAGTATAGTGTTATTATTGGAACTTTTGTTTATGTTTGGTTTAAACACTGCCTTTTGGAACTGCCTGTTACTTTATGAACTAGTCTAAATTGTTAAACTCCTGAATTAGTTCTGTGTCTGCAGCTTTACAAACCTGCCTCCCATTCTGTCCAGTTTGCATTGTTCATCATGCCATGCTTCAGTTCCCAGTGTTGTGGAGTCACCAGTGCTGAGAGCTGTTGTCTCTGGCCTTGGAAATGCCTCCCAAGTCCCAGCCACAAACCCCACCTCGAGGGAAGGCTTTTCCTGTTCCCTCAGCAGTGAAAATGTTCTGTGGTGTCAGTCAAGCAAGGAAGCAGCAGCAGCAGCTAGTTGAGACATCCAAGTAGCTTCCCTAGTCATTAATTTGGCAGCTGTTTAATCCCTGAGGTTGCCATTTGTAATGAGAAACCCAGCATGATCTCATATTATCAAGAGATTAGAGGCTGGTAACTGAAGGGGAGGACATTTCCTCAGCTCTGAAATCTTTACCTGGCTGCAGGGAAGCTGTGCAGGAGCTCCTGCCCTTGCATGGCTTTGCTTTAGCCAGGTCTGCTTTCAAATAAAATGAGACTATGGAACTGAAATGAGCTTTGAGGTATGTGCATGCTCACTTCAGGTATTTTCTGAGTCTTTTTAATGTTAGAAGTGTGATTCTGTTACAAAATAGGAAGGAGTTTGAATTCTGGGTCTTTGATGGTTGTTTCTCATGTTTGCCAAAATAACAAGTTGATGTGCCAAATCCGCTGGCTTGGTCTGTACCATAACTGGAGTTGCACTGTCTGGCATGGTATTTGGTGCCCTGCTGGACTTGGCATCTTCTTTGTCTGCTTATCTATTTCCCTTTCTCTAATATATTTTAGTGGATAAAAGATGTGAGTGGAAGAGTGGCATAGTGCAAAGATCAGTTAAATTGTTTGGCCTTTAGAATGGGTGTTCCTCTTGTACCCTTCCAAATTTTCTTTGAAAAAGTGATGGTCCTGTTGTTCCATCATCCACACGGCAGCATGCTTGCTGCTTCCAGATGTGCTTGCTGGAAAACAGCATTGGGAGTGATGTGGCCAATGGCGTGGGGCTGTAAAATGGCTTGATTCAGTGAGCCCTGTGTGATCTCGTCAGTTGTCGAGCCAAAACTCTGATGTCCTCTTGAATGGAAACTGCTTTGCAAATGGATTTTAAAAATAAGTATCCAGTCTGGTTGTCCAAAATTCAACCTGGGCAAAAGTACAAGGTATCCACATTTGTGGATGAGCACTTCCTACCACTGTTTTTTTAGCTGATGATGAAGGAAGGTGCTCAGCATTTTTACTAGAAACATGCTACTATTCTCTTGCGAAGGTTTTCAGCATTTTGGACATTGTGTTTTGAAGAAGAGTCTTTCAGCTTTGGCTTTGCAAGGGCTTCTGAGTGCTGCATTCTTGGGGCTTTGGAGATGATATCAGAATGGCTCTGCTCGGCTGCCTTTTCCCAGTAACCTTTGAGGTCTGTAGGCATCAATTTCAAGAGGAAACAAGGGGACTTATTTTTACTGGTGATGTCTGATGGAATAGCTGTAGCTTGTATGGAGTTTATGGAAGAAGTTAAATTGTCAATTCTCACTTTTTAAAGCTGGGGGCAAGGAGCACCTGGCTTTATCTTACTAAAAACCAGCCCAAGTATTCTATTGTCCCTAGCTATGAGCACTTCAGTTTGGAGCAAGTTTTCACACAAGCTTACTTATGTCTTTACCTAGGAAATAAAAGCCACTTGGCTGTTGATTCAGACTGTTCCATGCAGTAATGAAACTTAACACCGCAGTGAGGGTGGGTTGATGTGGTGGGATCTGGGATGTC